ACTTTAGTTAACACATACACAACTGAATAGAACTTACACATTTTCCACACTGCAGTCTACACTAAGGAAACGAACATAGGAATGTGCCTAAATGCCAACAGCGACTGCCCAGACAGGTACAAGAGGAGTGTTGTTAACGCTTATGTCGACCGTGCTCTCTGCCACAGCTCAGGATGGAAGCAAGTCGACGAAGAACTCTGTAGGGTAAGGCAGGTCCTAGTCAACAACGGCTTCTCCAATGGTTTCGTCGAAGACATCATAAGAAGGAAAGTGAAACGCCATGCAACCTCTGAAGAAACAACCAACACAACACCTATACCCCCTATTAGACTATTTTACAGGAACTTCTTTTCCACAGCTCATAAAACGGAGGAAAGGGTCCTGAAAGATATTGCTAATAGAAACGTTATCCCAACAGACAAAAATCAGAGGATACAACTGACAATTTACTATAAAACCAAAAAAACGGCTCTTTGTGCAACCCGTCCTCTTAAAAATAACGTCACTTTTCGCTCGTATGCGCGACGCTATGGCCAAATTTAGACGTAATTTGAAATGAAATCGACTCACAAAAGTGACGTACTGTTCCGTTTTCTGTTTGAGTCGTCCGGTCTAGAAAAGGATTCTTTCCATTAACGTTTTTCATACCATTTTGAAACTTTATGAGAATTTCCAGCCCACCTAACCTATGAGAGAACCCTTTACTTACTGTTGTTGAAAAAAAAATCCTAAATTTATTTTCATTTTTTTTTCATTTTCAAATTACGTCCATACGGGCAAACGGCCAAAAGCGACGTTCTTTTTAAGAGAACAGTCTTTGTGTGTGTGTTGTGTAAGGATTTAATAATAATAATAATAATAAAAATAATAATAATATAAACAATAATAATAATAATAACCTGTATTCACAAGAAGATACAGTGGATTGGTTAGATAACATAAGATTGGTATTTTTACATTCTGACAAAACCACTAAAACGCACAGTTTCGCGAATGACTGGCCCACGAGCTATGATGTCTCAGACCGTAACTACGGTATTTGCCGCCTTTCCATCGCCTTAAATTGTTTCTCATCTCCCAATGTTGAGAAAACGGAGCATCATATTTTAAGGCGAACTTATGTGGGTGGACCTCAGTTCGTCTTTTTAAAAAATTAAATATATAGTTGTATATTAATTGTCTGGAACAAGGTACCTCGTACCGAGACGACCGCTACTGGCCATCTGCTGATCACTTAAGTTATAGCTACATTCACAGCTAATATGAAAGTTTCTTATTTTACTCAACCAAAAAACTGTACATATGGTCGATCTTGAACCTATTGATGATGTGACAACTTGCACTGAATTTTGTAACTAGCTCATCAAAATTGTAACTTGCTTAGCTAAATGAATTGTGGGGTTCAGTCCCTGAGCCCATTATGTGCCTCTGTAACCCTTTCCACTACCACCCACAAGATGGGTATGGGGTGCATAATAAATGAACTAAACTAAACTACTCAACCAAAAATAGTTCTTAGATGAATAATAATCATACTAAAAATACCAATAAATTATATATTAATAATATACAAAGGAGTGTAACATAAACTAATTAAGTTTTGTTGTTTAAACTTTGATGAGGAAGTCAATACTAAGCAAGAAGTAAGTTAACATCAATGGGAGACATCTCCCGTCACGCAGGGTGCAGTCGCACCTCCACAGATCTCCAGTATCATCTATTGATACTGGTAATGGCTCAAAAAGGGCCACCACTTACGGGCTATTCATGCCCGTGCCATCTTTTGGTTGGCTTAATCTTCATCTTGGACACATTAATGGGAGACATCTCCCGTCACGCAGGGTGCAGTCGCACCTCCACAGATCTCCATGGCTCAAGAGGGCCACCACTTACGGGCTATTCATGCCCGTGCCACATCTTGGATGGCTTAATCTTTATCAATCAATCAATCAAGTCAACATGAACACTGTTGAAGACATTTAACAGATGAGTACATGAATATAAGAGTTATGGGGTAACACTTAACATTAAATGATAAGAACATATGACAGTGGCACATAATGGGCTCAGGGACTGAACCCCACAATTGACTTTGCTAAGCAAGTTACAATCTTGATGAGCTAGTTACAAAAATCAATGCACATCGTCACATCAACACTAGGCTCGAAACAATGGGCATATTGGGTGTAAACTAATTTAGTTTTTCTTATGACATTTCATTATAATTACTTTGAGTGAGAACCGTTTTTTGAACTTTGCAACCTTCCGGTCCCCTCGTTCCAGTGTCCTTGCTACGCTAGTTTCCTTGCCTTGCGGCTATTTTGATTGATTGATTGATGAAGATTAAGCCACCCAAAAGGTGGCACGGGCATGAATAGCCCGTAAGTGGTGGCCCTCTTGAGCCATTACCAGTATCAAGAGAAGATACTGGAGATCTGTGGAGGTGCGACTGCACCCTGCGTGACGGGAGATGTCTCCCGTGCGGCTATTTTCCTCGTGGTGTGGAAATATATGCAGCATTTGACCATTCCCCTGAATGCGACCCACAACAGTCGACTAACACCCAGGTTCCTAATCACTGCTAGGTGACTAGAGGCAAGGGGTGTAAGGAGACTTACCCATACGTCTCTCCCTGCCTGGGTGGGTAGTAGTAGAAGGTAAATGTGTTTGCCTTCACCCATAGTAGTGTGGGTGTGTTTACATGTGTGTGAAAAGCTTGAATGGTTCACAAGTCATGAAATCACAATAAGCACTATGGCCCTTTAAGAGGATTCGAACCAGGGTAGCCAGAGTGTGCTCACCGGACACCTAGACCGTAACTACGGTATTGGCCGCCTTTCCTTCACCTAAATTTGTTTCTCAACCCCCTCCCCCCCAAAAAAAAAAATTAATTTAAATAACAGAAAACGAAGTGTCATATTTTAAGGTAAACTTAGCTACGTGAACCATTGTTCTCCTTGTATATAATTGGTTGGGAACAAGGTACCTCGTACCGAGACGTATCAAGGCCACTATTTGCCAACTGCTGATCATTTAAGTTGTAGCTTCACTCACAACTAATACAATTGTTTCCTATTTCCACAACCAAAATAATTTTCAGACAAATTATTATAAAAATAACAACAACATAATAATAATATGTAAACTAAAAATAATATTTATAACAATAATAATGATATTTATAACAATAATAATAATAAAAATTTATATATAAAGTACATACACAAAAGTATTACATAAAATAGTTTAATTATGTTGCTTAAAGTTTACTGTGGTAGACAATACTAAACAAAATGCTCGCACCCACACACTCAGCTGAAGACATTTAAGACTTATTATTACCGCTTTCTTCAAATATAAAGAAAAAAATAATACTTTAAAATAATTGTTTAAATAAATTTGTTAATGACTATTTCAAGAATATTTAAAATTTATCATAAATTTACATAAGATTTTTTAGTATATTCATATCGCAATTTTATATTAAATATTTACGAGCAGTCTGTATGGTAATTATACTTAACATTATTATTTGTGTTTATTTTTAACATGCCTCCTTGGCATTACAAAGTCAATATGGTTGAGATACGCCACGGCTGGGACATACTCAAAAGTAACTTTATTCTTAACTATCTCTTCAAATTTTTTTTTTTTAACCATTTTTCCTGAGTTTCTCCGTCAACATTTTCCACCACACTGGAGTGGTGGACACTGCCATTATTAGTGGATAGTTAATTTTCCTAAGAGACTTCCATCGGTGTGACACAACGGACGCATCCTCTTCCTTACTTTCTTCCCCCTCCGTTTCATTCTCCTCTCCCCACTACACACCATCTGTTTGCCATAGCTAATTTTTCTAGAGATTCAATCCTCATGTCCAATGTTTTGAGGTATTCCAAGCCTCGTGTGTACCGACCGCAGAGTCCACAACGCTGCCCTGCACCTCATCACCACCAGGGTACACTTTCTCGGCTTGGTTTCCTACTGCCACGTGGCTGTCCTTAATGGTCGCTGGGCCTTTCTCCCAAATGTTGGTCACAGAGGCTATCATTGTCTTTCAACTGTTTCTTCCTTGTTCCTGCTATACGATCTTGCCTTCCTTCGGAGCTTCGTTTACCCTGTTTATGGGTGCCGACTTGGAATCTCTCTCATGGGGCTTCATGGGACATAGAGGGGAACCAGCATTGTGGTGGATGCCTCGACAATTGCAGCAAGATGACAAGAATTTATCTCCTTTGTCAATCCTGACTCTACATTGTCACGAGTCATGTTTTTTACCACAATACCAACATCTGGGTTGAACTGGCATTTCCAAGCCATATATGTCCCCAACGAGAAAATTTATACATAGTGTGGGCTCCTCAATATATTTTGCCAATTTCCTGTATCCAAGTCCTTGCACAAAAAGCCTTTCTGGAGCCTCGATCAGCCTTTAATAACAAAGCAACAATCTGACTTTGTTTTTCACCACGTACAATGCTCATCTTAGCCCACGCAACACTTTCATTATTGATATACAGAAATTTTTGATCCAAGTATGTTGGACACTTAAAAACAATAACATTAGTGTAAATTATTCCCACTTCAGGAGTAACCAAAACAATATTCTTAAATCCGTCAGTCGTTAGATGTTCCACTGCCTCTTGTGTCCCAACAGTTATGTAGGGCCGGTGAACACCCTCCTTAAATAATGGTTCATATTCACCAAATTCCTCGGCCAATTGAACGGTCCACTCCAGCTTCTGGTGAAAAGTTAATGGACACGAGAAGGGAAATAACAACTGCTTCCTTCCATTAATCTGTCCACCTTGCCGTGTGTGGTTCTGCTGCTTCCTTCCGGTAAGATTTTCCTGCTGAGTTTGTATAGAACTTTATAACCTGGGTCCCGTCTGTCGTCGAACACTGCACTTCTTCAGTCGTTCGTCACTGTCAGCTACACAGCTGGCGGCTACAGCCGAGGCTGTTCCAGCTGGCGTTATCCCAGCTGCTGTTTGTTCCAGCAGCCGGTGTTCCAGCTGCTAATGTTCCGGCAGCCGATGTTCCAGCTGCTAATGTTCCAGCAGCCGGTGTTCCAGCTGCTAATGTTCCGGCAGCCGATGTTCCAGCTGCTAATGTTCCAGCAGCCGGTGTTCCAGCTGCTAATGTTCCGGCAGCCGATGTTCCGGCTGCTAATGTTCCAGCAGCCGATGTTCCGGCTGCTAATGTTCCAGCAGCCGGTGTTCCAGCTGCTAATGTTCCGGCAGCCGATGTTCCGGCTGCTAATGTTCCAGCAGCCGGTGTTCCAGCTGCTAATGTTCCGGCAGCCGATGTTCCAGCTGCTAATGTTCCAGCAGCCGATGTTCCAGCTGCTAATGTTCCAGCAGCCGGTGTTCCAGCTGCTAATGTTCCAGCAGCCGGTGTTCCAGCTGCTAATGTTCCAGCAGCCGGTGTTCCAGCTGCTAATGTTCCGGCAGCCGGTGTTCCAGCTGCTAATGTTCCGGCAGCCGGTGTTCCAGCTGCTAATGTTCCGCCAGCCGGTGTTCCAGCTGCTAATGTTCCGGCAGCCAGTGTTCCAGCTGCTAATGTTCCGGCAGCCGGTGTTCCAGCTGCTAATGTTCCAGCAGCCGGTGTTCCAGCTGCTAATGTTCCGGCAGCCGGTGTTCCAGCTGCTAATGTTCCGGCAGCCGGTGTTCCAGCTGCTAATGTTCCAGCAGCCGATGTTCCAGCTGCTAATGTTCCAGCAGCCGGTGTTCCAGCTGCTAATGTTCCAGCAGCCGGTGTTCCAGCTGCTAATGTTCCGGCAGCCGGTGTTCCAGCTGCTAATGTTCCGGCAGCCGGTGTTCCAGCTGCTAATGTTCCGGCAGCCGGTGTTCCGCCAGCCGATGTTCCAGCTGCTAATGTTCCGGCAGCCGATGTTCCAGCTGCTAATGTTCCGGCAGCCGGTGTTCCAGCTGCTAATGTTCCAGCAGCCGATGTTCCAGCTGCTAATGTTCCGCCAGCCGATGTTCCAGCTGCTAATGTTCCGGCAGCCGGTGTTCCAGCTGCTAATGTTCCAGCAGCCGATGTTCCGGCAGCCGATGTTCCAGCTGCTAATGTTCCGCCAGCCGATGTTCCAGCTGCTAATGTTCCAGCAGCCGATGTTCCGCCAGCCGATGTTCCAGCTGCTAATGTTCCGGCAGCCGATGTTCCAGCTGCTAATGTTCCGGCAGCCGATGTTCCAGCTGCTAATGTTCCGGCAGCCGATGTTCCAGCTGCTAATGTTCCGGCAGCCGATGTTCCAGCTGCTAATGTTCCGCCAGCCGATGTTCCAGCTGCTAATGTTCCAGCAGCCGATGTTCCGCCAGCCGATGTTCCAGCTGCTAATGTTCCGCCAGCCGATGTTCCAGCTGCTAATGTTCCGGCAGCCGGTGTTCCAGCTGCTAATGTTCTGGCAGCCGATGTTCCAGCTGCTAATGTTCCGGCAGCCGATGTTCCAGCTGCTAATGTTCCGGCAGCCGGTGTTCCAGCTGCTAATGTTCCGGCAGCCGATGTTCCGCCAGCCGATGTTCCAGCTGCTAATGTTCCGCCAGCCGATGTTCCAGCTGCTAATGTTCCAGCTGCTGATGTTCCAGCTGCTAATGTTCCAGCTACTGATGTTCCAGCTGCTAATGTTCCGCCAGCCGATGTTCCAGCTGCTAATGTTCCAGCTGCTAATGTTCCGCCAGCCGATGTTCCAGCTGCTAATGTTCCAGCTGCTAATGTTCCGCCAGCCGATGTTCCAGCTGCTAATGTTCCAGCTGCTGATGTTCCAGCTGCTAATGTTCCAGCAGCCGGTGTTCCAGCTGCTAATGTTCCGGCAGCCGATGTTCTAGATGTTGGCGTTCCAGCTGTCGAGGTTCCTGCTGCTGTTCCAGCCCCCGAAGTTCCAGCGGGAAGTGTTCCAGCTGAAGCGTTCCAGCTGACGATGTGCCTATTAATATTATTACTCTTTTACAGCTTTATTGAATTTATTGTATTTTATTTTCAGTTTCATGTATTAAATCCGGTATTTTCTAATGACATATATTTCAGCCTTATTTTGAGCATAAATTGTTTTGCAGTTGCACTTCTATTTACAACTGCAGTTCCCCCTGTGGCCCGTTGCCGCTATTTATTATACCTTCAGCAGCTGCTGATGTTCCAGCTGTCGATGTTACAGCTGTTGATGTTTCAGCTGTTGTTATTCCACCTGCTGACGTGCTAGCTGCTGATATTCTAGCCCCTTTTGGCAGGGGAAAGCTTCAGCTTTAGCTTCAGTTCGTTCCCGACGTTCCCTTAACGCTAGCTCCCAGGTTCCCTCAGGATTACTCTATGTTGATTTAAGACCACTCCGGCACGACCTACAGGACTTCCGGAAGCCTTCTAGTCGGTTCTAATTCGCTTCAAGATGACTACATGGTGAACTCCTGATGACTTCCTGATGTCTTCAGGATGACTTCCAGATGACTGCAAGTTGACTTCAAGATGACTTTCACGGGGCTCGGCCGGGGGGGGGGGGGGCTTCCCCCCTCACGTTGCGTGTTTGCAATCGCCTGCAAGGTGGCTTAGCGATGACTCCAAGATGACTTCTTGATGTCTGCATGATGCCTTCATGTTGACGTCTTCCTGACTCCAGGATGATTACAAGATGATCTCTAGATGGCGTCAGGATGACTCCAGGAGGTCTTCAGGATGACTTCAGTATGAATCCCAGACGACTCCCAGCTGCCTTTCATGTTGACTGGTGGCAAAATATTATATATTACATTATGTTATATATTTATTTAACTTCTTTTCTATTCAATATCGGGCTTATAGTTGCCTCACTTCGCACCCCCCCCCCCCCCCTCTGCTATTATTTGTAATTATTGAAATTATTACTGAGTATTGTTTTAAACCTACTTTGCTTATGGTCTTTGGTCCTTTGGCTTATTTTGCTGCGTTACTCTCTACTTGTTACTATTTGCTATGGAGGTTAGTTATAGTCACTTATTGGTGTTATTGACCTTATGTCAATTATCTTTTGGCTTCCGGCCCTTGCCTAAACGCTATGAATGTTATTAATATTGCATCATATTATTACTAATTTAAGTTCTTTTATTATTCGGTACCGGGTTTATCGTTGACTTACTTCTACCGTCACGTTACCACCCCATGCCCGCTTCTGCCCACCCTCACTGCCTTAATACTTTCAACCCGGGGGAGGTGATCTACATGGAGAAGGGTCGACACACGCTCCGACTGGACCAGGTATCGTTAACAAGGTCAGGAATTGACATCATCTTCGGCTCCACCAAGCACAGTACGGGCTGCACGCCCACCTTAGACATCATCTTCGGCTCCACCAAGCACAGTACGGGCTGCACGCCCACCTTAGCCCTGAGCGCGGACCACTTCAGCAGGTACTGCCCAGTCCGTGCCCTTTCCAAGTACTTCAAATGGCTGGGCGCGATCCCAGGGCCCATATATTTCAGCATGAGTTGGGCGCTCCAGTGACCAGGCAAGACTTCTCCAGGATGCTTTGCGCCACCATTGCAGCATTGGGCCTGCCTCCCGCTGATTACGCCCTTCACTCCTTTAGAATTGGCAGGGCCACACAGGTGTCATTGGATGGGCTTGTGCTGGCGGCAATCATGGCAGTCGGCAGATGGAAGTGGCGCTTTTACTTCCTACGTCAGGCAGGAAGTCGCCACTCTTCCCTGCTGAGGCTCCTCCCGCGGCCAGCGGGCACTCACCCTTCGGGGGGGTCTGGCCTGCTGGCCTGTGGAGTGGGGGTGCAGCGCCAGTCCCCAAGTGTTCCGCTGTCCACAGCTACTTACTTTGTCAAGAGCTCCCTTGTAGTAATTCAAGTTAAATTTGCCACACACTTTACATGCATTCTAAGTACTAGTAAGCTTTACCTTTAGTCCGGGAATTCTTATATATATCCTTATTCCTTGGCGGCACGGCCTCATGGCTTGGGTTAATTTCTCCTCCAATTTAACATCAGGCATTTCCCAGTCTCTATGTAAATTCCGCACTCACTGGTTATTTTCCGTATTAACTCAACTAGGGTTTAGCATTCTTATCTGGTCTCTTGGGCAGGCTTCCTTATTAAATATTACATTGTTTATTCCCATTATATTTACTTTAAATGTACTGACTTTCTATTTCAGTTATGTTATACATTTGAGTTATACTTTTACACCTAGACAATAAGCTTATTTTGTGTTCTGCAGATTTTGATTTATCTTGTTACTCGGCTATAAGTACACTTTATTAAATGTTACTACGGGTGTTCTCATTAAGTTGATTTAGCTGTACTTAGAGTTATCCACGTCTATGTTATAGCATTTGACATGTACTCACTTATAGCCGCCTCATTTACGTGTTCTGCAAAAATTTATTTACTTGTATTCTACTACTTAATAGATAAGCCCCCATACTGCTGGTGTCTTTTTTCTCCCTGATCAGAAAATAATGTAAACTTTGCTCTCTCCATCATACTTCTGCAAGTGCTGGCAAGTGGTGAGGTGCGATGTACAGGTGATGTTCATTACTAGGTGAGCTGGAAGGTGGTGCTCACTGCTAGATGAACTGATGTTCACCTAGAAGTAGGTATCTGGGAGCTAGTTAATACACTTACACATTTATTGGATCTTTCCTTCACCTTCATTCAAGCACTAGGGCATTACATTAAGTTTTCCATTATTAATATTATTTAATTATTATTATTAGTAACAGGACTGGGGGGGGGGGGCAGGTATTGGTTCACATGTCCACATTCCAATGCCCCCCTTTTCCAGGGCTGGGGGTGCAGGGGTGCACAATAAACTATGCACCTCCGGTGGAAGTGGAGCCTATATAGGCCATTTGTCATGATAATTAGTGATGGCTCTTATTTTGATTATGGGTCCGTAATAAAGTTAAGTCTTTATTCTAATTTATATTACCATGCTGGTAAAATACACTTCTTGATGATGAGTATGGAGTACACATGAACTATCACTCACAGGATGAGTATGGGTTACACAAGAAACTATATATTTATTTATTTATTTTTATATATATGCAAGAAGTTACATTGAGTTTATGAAAGTACATAATATGATGTGTTTACATTCTTGTAAAGCCACTAGTTTGCACAGCATTTCGCACAGTAAACAAAGATTTACATGATGAGAAAAGGTTCTACAATGTATTATGACTCACAGGATGAGTAAGAGGTGCACACTAAACTACCACTCACAGGATGAGTGTAGGTTGGTTGCACAATAAACTTCAGATCACAGGATAAGTATGGGTTGCACAAACTACTGGTAGCAGGATGGGTATGGGTTGTACAAAACATTACCACACAGTGGTTGAGTATGGGGTGCACGTAAACGAAGACTCCCAAGAAGCAAATCTGAGATCAGCCCAAGTTTCATCTTGAGGCAAAGCTCAATGCCTTAAGCCATATTGATGCTCTGTCCACAGAGCATTCTCTCTCTCAAATCATATAGTACACTGATGGTTCCCTACACCACCCCACAGGTGCAGCTGCAGCAGGCTTGGGTGACACTGATGACTATGGGGTGCACAATAAACTAACACTTACAGAATGAGTATGGGCTGCACAATAAGCTACCTCTCACAAGATTAGTAATACAGAAACATTAAATTTTTGGGTAGGGTGACTGAAACTCATCCTGGGGTAAAAAACAAACGTTGAATGTAATGAACCTCTGAAATAATGGACCTCTCTCAACCAGTTTAAGATGAAAACTAAACACTACCTAATTAACTCCCTGTAACCCACCTTACCCCTATAATGTCAACCCATGTCTGTTATTTTTAAACAATGCTGTTTGTCAACCAAATTGTATTTTTGCTGTTTTTCTGCCATGTTCCCTCCTTTTTTATTTTTATATTTTCAACACATTTTATACTTTAATCTCAATTAGTATTAAGTTTTAGTCTTTAGTGTTTTTCCTGCACGAAACGCTTTGCGTAATAGTGGCTTTAGGCATTGTATGTACTAGTTCTATCTATAAATTCATCAATATTTGTATCACCCCTTGTATGTATGTACTTTACCTAAATAAACATTTGAATTTGAATTTGAAACGCCATTTTCTGGGTGAGACCCGGAGGCTCCCCGGAGCTATACCAGGCTGATCTGCTAATGTCAGACTTTGGCATCAGTCATGTGTATGGAGTTCTTAGGGCCTACCGGGGACCACGACCAGAACCTGGCCCCCTCAGAGAGGCAAGGGGAGCAATGGCCTATAGAAACCTCCATGTGGTTGGAAGCATTCTATGTCTGCCATCGACCGGATCAAACATCCAGAAAGGTAAGCATCCCAAAACCCCTATTCTGGTAAAAGTTGCTACAAAAAGCTGAACTAGTGGATAGAACTTCCCAACAGAAAACAAGCAAACAGGTATAACGTCACTGCGCCTCTGTCTGCGTAGCTCCCCCCTCCCCGGGAGAGGGAAGGGGGAGCCCTAATGTAGGGAGCCGCCCCAGAAAACCAGCGTTGAATGTAATGAAACGCCATTTTCTGGGTGAGACCCGGAGGCTCCCGGCAACCCTCCCTCCCTCCAGTCGGCAGTTTTTCGCGTGTTTTGAAATCCAGCCTCAGAACTGATGGGTGGATAGCCAGCGTGAGAGGTCTGGGGCTCCCCCTTTCCCCTCCCGGGGAGGGGGGAGCTGCGCTGACAGCGGCGAGGTGACGTGTGACGTCATACTTGTTTGCTTGTTTTCTGATGGGAAGTTCTATCCACTAGTTCAGCTTTTGGTAGCAATTTTTACCAGAATAGGGGTTTGTTTTAGGATGCTTACCTTTCTGGATGTTTGACCCGGTCGATGGCAGACATAGAATGTTTCCAACTACACGGGGGTTTCTATAGGCCATTGCTCTCCTTGCCACTCTGAGGGGCCCAGGTTCTGGCCGTGGTCCCCAGTAGGCCCTAAGAATTCCATACACATGACTGATGCCAAAGTCTGACATTAGCATATCAGCCTGGTATAGCTATGGGGAGCCAACAGGGCTCTCCCCAGAAATATTTATTTATATTTACTAAAGTTAAATGAATTATTAGCAAATTATACACAATATATATTGTATTATAAGTGAATTAACACTAAACTATAAATGATACTAATAAGTTTTTAAAAATGAAAAACAGTAAATATCCTTCATATAAGATAAGGAAGTTGAGAAGTAAATTAACTGTGAACTAAATTATAAACTGTCGACATCATATAAAGTATTATATGTAAAGTACCTGTAAACTACCAAATAATAAGGAACCATTTCTATCATTTATCCTTCCTTTTCAAATATCCTAAGAATCCCAATACGTTTTTACTTAATTTTTGTTTTTCTGGTGTAGTTCCGTGTGGTTCAAGTTTGACTACATGTAGTTCTTGCTGCTTCTCAATCACCGCTAATGGTCGCTCTTGTTTCACCTGCGCAACTTTTTTTGCTTGTTGCACTTCTTGCACCTGCGCAACTTGTAGCTCGTCCTTAATTTTTTCCAGGGCATTATGGCCTGCTCCTTCAGATCCTAATGTAAATTTATCTTCATCAAGCTTCCTTGTGCGTGCTGGAAAAAAAAAATATTTATAAAAATACTGTATGTACATACACAGTCAAAAAATTGCTCAAGGAGCTAAGTAAGAACAAAGCAGTTGGCCAAGTGTAACAGTAAAAATACTGGAAAAAACAAGTAAAACTAAACCGGTAGAACACCGGGAGAAAAACTTTATAATATCAGACAGTCAACATGGTTTTCAAACTGGAAGATCCTGTGTAACGAATTTACTCAGTTACTATGATCGAGCTGCAGAGATTTTACAGGAAAGAGATGGTTGGGTTGACTGCATCTATCTGGACCTAAAAAAAGCTTTCGACAGAATCCCACATGAGAGTTTGTTCTGGAAACTGGAACATATTGGAGGGGTGACAGGTAAGCTTCTAACATGGATGAAAAATGTTCAAACTGATAGAAAAATGAGGACAGTAATCAGAGGCAATGTATCGGACTGGAGAAATGTCACGAGTGGAGTACCACAGGGTTTAGTTCTGGCACCGATAATGTTCATTGTCTAGATAAACTATCTACCAGATGGAATACATAATTATATGAACATGTTTGTTGATGATACTAAGATAATAGGGAAGACAAAATAAGTATATGGAGCACTACTTGGCTAATGGAATATGAATAAATGCCATGTTATGGAATGTGGAATAGGAGAACATAAACCCCACACAACCTATAAATTATGTGAAAAGCATGGGTTGGACATGTATACGAGTGGGATTAGGTGGTTATAAATAGGATCTGCCTCGTATGGGCCAACAGGCCTTATGAAGTTACCTTTATTCTTATGTTCTTATGAAGAATAAACCACACACCAGAAAATGAGATGACCATGTTTCGGTCCATCCTGGACCATTATAAAATGGGATGGATAGGATGAGTGTAGCAAATGGACGGTATGGATGGGATAAGTGTAGCAAAGGTGTGTTCGGGAAGTCTCTCGACCAAAGTATGTACCAAGATCAGAAATATGCAAATGTCACCCCTATTTTCAAAAAAGGAAAAGAACTCAGCAGAAAACTACTGTCCAATCAGTGTGACATCACACATCTGCAAGGCCATGGAGAGAATCTTAAGGGAGGAAATCATTCACCATCTTTCAGCAAAGAATCTTGAAAAATCGACACATTGGTTTGTTATAAATTCATCCTGCCTTACAAACCTGCTCACATTTTGAGAATCGGTAACCAGTTACTCAAAGAACTTTCGGTTAATATAGTATACGTGGATTTTGCTGAAACCTTTGATAAGGTACTACATGAAATTCTGCCAAAAAAATTGGAGGCACATGGAATAAATGGGTGGGTGGGTGTCCCACCCATAAAGTGGGTGTCATAGGGGCCCCAGCACACTGGTTTGCCCAAGGGCCCATAATGCTGTTAAGACCTTATGGGCCCTTTGACCCATTATGGACCCATTATGTTAAGACATAACGCTGATTTGGGTCACACTCTTTTTGCCATATACATCAATGACAGAGATGAGAATATTACAAACCACAGCATAAAAGTTGGCAGATGACACAAAGATTTATGGTAAAGTGGAACACAATAATAATGTGGAAGCCTTACAAATTATGAGATTTACAGAAACTCAACAAATGGTCAGATGACTGGCAAATAATTTGTAATATTGACAAATGCAAGACCCTGCCGCATGTGGGCATAACAACCCACACCACAACTACCAAATTAATACCATTACATTACAGCAGATTGATAAGGAAAAGGACACTGGAGTCAAAATCTACCACTCCATCAAAGTTGCACAGAAGGTTATCTTGAGGTTATCTTGAGATGATTTCGGGGCTTTTAGTGTCCCCGCGGCCCGGTCCTCGACCAGGCCTCCACCCCCAGAAAGCAGCCCGTGACAGCTGACTAACACCCAGGTACCTATTTTACTGATAGGTAACAGGGGGCATAGGGTGAAAGAAACTCTGCCCATTGTTTCTCGCCGGCGCCTGGGATCGAACCCAGGACCACAGGATTACAAGTCCAGCGTGCTGTCCGCTCGGCCGACCGGCTCCCCTCAGGTAGGGGCAGCAGTCAAAAAAGCTAACAAAAAACTTGGAATAATGTATAAGCATTCTATAGTAAAGATTATTAATTTAATTACACAAATTTAAAATAAATATTGAGATGTAAGGTTGGTTACTTTAAAAATCTTTTATGTTTATCTCTAAAATTCTATACTTTTATGTATAGAATGGTATACAAAGTCTAGGCAGTGAGGTAGACAAAGCGATAAATGTGAGGTGATTCAAAGCATTGGTCATAGATAATTCTCTGAATCACCTCACTTTGTGGGGCCCGTGATTCAGTGAGGTGATTTGGTGAAAGATCTATGCCCGAGTTAATCACCGAGTTCTCTCAGATCTTGGATAAATAGTCTCACGACTACCAAGATTTTTGTAGAGTCGTGTGGTCTAGTGGTTAAAGAACTAGGTACGTCACACACTAGGTGTGTGTGTGTGTGTAAATCACGAAAATTTACACGTGATGAAAAATGTGACAGTGTCAGACCAGGGAGGAAGAATTGAAACAGGAATTTCCTTGAGTATTTTCGTATATTAATACATCTTCAGAAGGAATGATATCCTGAATGGAATCCATCTTCAGAAGGAAAGATATCATCAATCCTTCTGAAGATGTATTAAATATACATCTTATGTACACCTTTTCTACATAACACCTTATGTACATGAGATGTACATGAGATGTACATAAGATGTACATAAGATGTACATGTTATATACACACACAAACACAAGTATGTTTGTAAATGTTTAAATTCCAGATGATTTGGAAGTGCATTCCCTGAACTAATAACAAGGTATCTTGAGGTTATCTTGAGATGATTTCGGGGCTTTAGTGTCCCCGCGGCCCGGTCCTCGACCAGGCCTCCACCCCCAGGAAGCAGCCCGTGACAGCTGACTAACACCCAGGTACCTATTTACTGCTAGGTAACAGGGGCATAGGGTGAAAGAAACTCTGCCCATTGTTTCTCGCCGGCACCTGGGATCGAACCCAGGACCACAGGATCACAAGTCCCGCGTGCTGTCCGCTCGGCCGACCGGCTCCCGAGGTATGTTAAAACTTAAAAATTTTTTTAACACTCTGTAAACAGTATGTGAAAATTCAGAGAGAAAATAATAGGTGGTGATATATTTATATATTATGTGAACTACTTACACAAAAAGAAGTTAGTGGAGAAGATATCCTTGTCTTCTTCAAGTAGAGCGTTTTTTGGTAGGATACCATGTGTCACCCGTGCTGGTCCTTTCTTGTAATAGATAACGAGTGCTTCATACCCACAGCCACGCAGATATGTCAGCTGAAAAGAAAATAATATTTAAACAATAACATTATCTGGGAAAATGCAACAAAATAAATGTTTGAAGCATAGCTGGGTACGTGCAATAGAACCCCATAATAGAATCACAATACCAGAAATAAATATCTATGATATCCCCAGAGTCAAAGTTATTCTGTGTAAATACTCTATGCAAATAAAGGGACCTTGTCTATGGAACTCACTTCCTAACAAATTTAAAAGCTGTCCAACTTTTGCCATTTTAAAAAATAAAACCAAAAAGTACCTAATTTCATCTTCATAGTTTCCTAACTAGTGCATTAAACTCGCACTGTAACTTATGAAACCCAATGCCAGAATATATGTACCCAAACTATACAACTTTTCCATTGTAATCATTGCTATCACCTTATATTATGGTTGTTATATTGAATGCATATCTTACTGTATTATACCTTGAAATATTCCCCAAATTATGCTACAATGTATATGTTGATAATCCTCAAATTTTACTTTAACCACTGTGCTGCGCCGAGTTTATTGTGAAATTCCCCTGGTGCGCAAGAAATAAAGTGTTCCCAAAAAATTCTTTTTTCTTCGTAAAATGATAAATTCTCTTCCCTGAACATGTCTATGTAAAAATAAATACCAAATTCCACTTACTTTGGCTGTAGGGACGTGGACAAGGTGCGCTGTGACGTCATCAGGGCCTGGTCGCCCGTGCATGACTCGCCCAGACACGGTCGCGCGGGCCATTCAAGCACCGGGTGTTGCCACAAATATATTTTCAATTATTTGTTCTATGTATTTCCAATGCGGTTTTATTTGTTTTTTATCGTATATGATGCATATTTGTGTCCTTTACAATATGTATACAGTAGAACGTTCGTAATGTTCCATGGAACTGTGATACATGTGTCAGTAATGTGTCCACAATAAATGTTTATTGTCGCAATATTACCTGTTAAAAATTCACTAAAATTACAATATGTACAGTTTCACACACTATTTACACAGTAACACACTGTATTACACACTCAGTACTTCAGAAGTGAGTAATAATTAACGAAGTAGTCCATGGTACACAGCGCGACTTCGCTCTCAGTGCACCAGATAGATAAATTTTCGCTTCCTGTTTCTTCATTCTGTGTGCTTGCAAATAATGCACTCACGTACACCCTTGGTTTTAGTACTTGTAGGCTGTATGTAGCCAAGCTTGTAAAGCATAAAGTAGTATTGAAAAGATTATAGGAAAAGATCAATTTGTAAGGTAGTCTTGAAAAGATCGCTTTGTATGGTCCCACACAGGAAGAGATTCAGCTTGCCTCAAACAGTGTCCGTCAGTCAGAGAGAGATTCAGCTAGCCTCAAAGAGTGTCCGTCAGTTAGGGAAGAGATTCAGGTATTCTTGAAAATATCTATGGAAAACACCACCATGGAAGCCGCTAACACTGTTCATCTATGCTACTTGTATCAGATGCATCATCACTGAACGCAGAAAACGATTTATCTATGTATCATCTAAATAAATTGGAGATAGCATAGGATTGCAAGGGTGATGCTCAGAGCTACAACTGGATACACTCGCTGTATCGTCCTCATAGGTGCTGTATCACTTGCATCCGACCTTTTTGTTAGGTCCTTATTGACCTAACAAAATAATAATATTGGCTTCACCAATATTATGACCCTTATGTTCTTCAAACAATAAGGTTATGAATTTCACCGACAGAGCGTTATCTTTCAACACGCGTCAGGCAGGTGTTTGGGAGCCAGAGGCGCGTGCGCCACCCATTGTTGCTCATTCAGTACTAACCCAGCCAGCAGCCCTAGAGCATCCTGGGAATTTTTTCCAAGATGGCTGCCTCTCACTGGAGGTCCTAAGAGTCCATTTCGTACACAACCAACCTCGTACACATTTAGAATTGGTACTGACAAATAAAAAAAAAGTTTTCTCAGTTGGCGCAGTTTCCCGCCGACCGAAAATACTTGGTTGGCGCAGTTAAGTGGTTAATGTACCGAGTAATCTTCGTAAAATTTTCTTACAATATACCTGCCAATTTGTTTTCAATTTTGCTTGAAATTGCCTACTTAAAATTATCTGTTAGATTAAGGACCTGCCCAAAACGCTATATGTGTGCTAGTGGCTTTACAAGAATGTAAAAACATCAATGCTATGTACTCTCATAATCCCAGTGTGCCATCTTGTATATAAATAAATAAACAAATAGTATCTAAGTACAGTACTGTATTATTCATGTTGATTCTATACCTTATCAAGCAAGTTCAGCATAAGAAGAATACCAATGAATACAACAGATGCAGACAAACTTCAATACCTGATTTTCAATCCTTCGTAGAACCCGGCTCGCTGTATTTCGTTCTAAAGCCTTCTTGCCTTTAAGTAGAAAACGGGCTTCCTCTTCTTTCTTCATTAATTCTCTACTGTTTCGGAAGTCACACTTGCAGAACTTGCAAACATTGCTTCGGACATGCACACATTGTGTGCAGTTTGGGCATCTCCTCAGGAATTTTCCCTGAAGACCTGAAGGAAATAATTTCTAACAAAATACTTATATTCAAATCACCTATGCTGCAAAAATATAAGTTAAATTGTTGTACAAATGTACTACAGTAATTTAATATATTATTTAAATTATGAAATAATCTAAATTAACACTAAAGACAACAGAGATAAAAATTTAAGGACTGCACCTGGAAATAGCTTCTATTTTGGATGTGATCAACCAGGCTGTAACTCGTATATCAAAACTGAAAGGAGTTGCATCCAACAGCCTGATTGACCAGGCTGTTAATTTCAAGCAAATACTATATTGTTGAAATAAAAAATTATATATGTAAATCCAGTTGGGGTAAAGTTGTGGATAAAATGTAAAATATATGTAAGATGGCACTGTATTCAGGTATGAAATTATTATACTAAGAAAACTGAATCTAAATGGTATGAATACACACATATGCATTATATATATATATATATATATATATATATATATATATATATATATATATATATATATATATATATATATATATATATATATATATATATATATATATATATATATATATATATATATATATATATATATATATATATATATATATATATATATATATATATATATATATATATTAGTATATTTTGGTAGCAGTCTTTCCTGTAGACATATATTATTAAATATGACCGAAAAAGTAAGATTAATAATTCTAACACGAATTTTCTCAATCTTTCGTATATTACGCTTCACTGTTGGAGGTAAATCAAAAATCAATTCTCCAAAAACTATTATTAGACTAGAAATAAAAATGAATTTTGGAGAATTGATTTTTGATTTACCTCCAACAGTGAAGCGTAATGTACGAAAGATTGAGAAAATTCGTGTTAGAATTATTAATCTTACTTTTTCGGTCATATTTAATAATATATATATATATATATATATATATATATATATATATATATATATATATATATATATATATATATATATATATATATATACAGTATATATATGTATATATATATATATATATATATATATATATATATATATATATATATATATATATATATATATATATATATTAGTATATTTTGGTAGCAGTCTTTCCTGTAGACATATATTATTAAATATGACCGAAAAAGTAAGATTAATAATTCTAACACGAATTTTCTCAATCTTTCGTACATTTCTTTTCACTGTTGGAGGTAAATCAAAAATCAATTCTCCAAAATTCATTTTTATTTCTAGTCTGACGCGACACGAGCGCGTTTCGTAAAACTTATTACATTTTCAAAGACTTTAGTTTACAAATACACAACTGAATAGAACTTACGCATCTCCGATTTTATATCTACATTTGAGTGAGGTGGATGGGGTGAGGTGGCATTAATAGGGTATTAATTTCATCAACACAAGACAGAACAAGAGGTGGCATTAATAGGGTATTAATTTCATCAACACAAGACAGAACACGAAACAATGGGTATTGAATAGAAGTGTTTGTAGAAAGCCTATTGGTCCATATTTCTTGATGCTTCTATATTGGAGCAGAGTCTTGAGGTGGGTAGAATATAGTTGTGCATTAATTGGCTGTTGATTGCTGGTGTTGACTTCTTGATGTGTAGTGCCTCGCAAACGTCAAGCCGCCTGCTATCGCTGTATCTATCGATGATTTCTGTGTTGTTTACTAGGATTTCTCTGGCGATGGTTTGGTTGTGGGAAGAGATTATATGTTCCTTAATGGAGCCCTGTTGCTTATGCATCGTTAAACGCCTAGAAAGAGATGTTGTTGCCTTGCCTATATACTGGGATTTTTGGAGCTTACAGTCCCCAAGAGGGCATTTGAAGGCATAGACGACGTTAGTCTCTTTTAAAGCGTTCTGTTTTGTGTCTGGAGAGTTTCTCATGAGTAGGCTGGCCGTTTTTCTGGTTTTATAGTAAATCGTCAGTTGTATCCTCTGATTTTTGTCTGTAGGGATAACGTTTCTATTAACAATATCTTTCAGGACCCTTTCCTCCGTTTTATGAGCTGTGGAAAAGAAATTCCTGTAAAATAGTCTAATAGGGGGTATAGGTGTTGTGTTAGTTGTCTCTTCAGAGGTTGCATGGGGTTTCACTTTCCTTTTTATGATGTCTTCGACGAAACCATTGGAGAAGCCGTTGTTGACTAGGACCTGCCTTACCCTACAGAGTTCTTCGTCGACTTGCTTCCATTCTGAGCTGTGGCTGAGAGCACGGTCGACATATGCGACCGGAAATATATATATATATATATATATATATATATATATATATATATATATATGTCGTACCTAGTAGCCAGAACGCACTTCTCAGCCTACTATGCAAGGCCCGATTTACCTAATAAGCCAAGTTTTCATGAATTAATGTTTTTTCGACTTCCTAACCTACCTAACCTAACCTAACCTAACTTTTTCGGCTACCTAACCTAACCTAACCTATAAGATAGGTTAGGTTAGGTAGGGTTGGTTAGGTTCGGCCATATATCTACGTTAATTTTAACTCCAATAAAAAAAATTGTCCACATATATAATGAAATGGGTAGCTTTATCATTTCATAAGAAAAAAATTAGAGAAAATATATTAATTCAGGAAAACTTGGCTTATTAAGCAAATCGGGCCTTGCATAGTAGACTGAGAAGCGCGTTCTGGCTGCTAGGTACGACATATATATCCCACTTGGGGACTGTAAGCTCCAAAAAACCCAGTATATAGGCAAGACAACAACATCTCTTTCTAGGCGTTTAACGATGCATAAGCAACAGGGCTCCATTAAGGAACATATAATCTCTTCCCACAACCAAACCATCGCCAGAGAAATCCTAGTAAACAACACAGAAATCATCGATAGATACAGCGATAGCAGGCGGCTTGACGTTTGCGAGGCACTACACATCAAGAAGTCAACACCAGCAATCAACAGCCAATTATTGCACAACTATATTCTACCCACCTCAAGACTCCGCTCCAATATAGAAGCATCAAGAAATATGGACCAATAGGCTTTCTACAAACACTTCTATTCAATACCCATTGTTTGTGTTCTGTCTTGTGTTGATACTTTTAATACCCTATTAATATCCCCTCTTGTTCTGTCTTGTGTTAATGCCACATCACCCCTCCCACCTCACTCAAATGTAGATATAAAATCGGAGATACGTAAGTTCTAATCAGTTGTGTATTTGTGAACTAAAGTCTTTGAAAATGTATTAAGTTTTACGAAACGCGCCCGTTTCGCGTCAGACTAGAAATAAAAATGAATTTTGGAGAATTGATTTTTTATTTACCTCCAACAGTGAAGCGTAATGTACGAAAGATTGAGAAAATTCGTGTTAGAATTATTAATCTTACTTTTTCGGTCACATTTAATAATATATATATATATATATATGTATATATATATATATATATATATATATATATATATATATATATATGTCGTACCTAGTAGCCAGAACTCACTTTTTGGCCTACTATTCAAGGCCCGATTTGCCTAATAAGCCAAGTTTTCCTGAATTAATATATTTATTCAAATTTTTTTCTCATGAAATGATAAAGCTACCCATTTCATTATGTATGAGGTCAATTTTTTTTTATTGGAGTTAAAATTAACGTAGATATATGACCGAACCTAACCAACCCTACCTAACCTAACCTAACCTATCTTTATAGGTTTTTTCGACTACCTAACCTACCTAACCTAACCTAACCTAACTTTTTCGGCTACCTAACCTAACCTAACCTATAAAGATAGGTTAGGTTAGGTTAGGTAGGGTTGGTTAGGTTCGGTCATATATCTATGTTAATTTTAACTCCAATAAAAAAAAATTGACCTCATACATAATGAAATGGGTAGCTTTATCATTTCATAAGAAAAAAATTAGAGAAAATATATTAATTCAGGAAAACTTGGCTTATTAGGCAAATCGGGCCTTGCATAGTAGGCTGAGAAGTACGTTCTGGCTACTAGGTACGACATATATATATATATATCGGGAACAGTTGAGGGCCACAGGGCTAATATACTGTAAACAAGGAATGACAAGGCATATTTCACTGAAATTTTTAAAATATTGAAAAATAAGTAGGATGTTGATTTGGAAAATTTCTTGAAAAAGTTAGATTGAACTCCCTAGTGCTTGTAACCGACTTAGACTCGGTTACAAGTACAGTGGCACCTCGATTAATGAGCGGCTCTATCTACGAGCATTTCGAGTAACGAGCGAGCCACTCGCAGCAAATTTGTCTCTATTGACGAGCTTCACCTCTATTAACGAGCAAAACCACATGGTGCTTCTTAGCATCTCGCGGGTTCTCTCAAATTCTCAGATGCCTCCGACGCCAGTGTTGTTGTTGTATCGTGCACGACAAGCATCCCTCTGCATTTATTTGTGCTTTTCTTTGGGGTTTTGGGGGTTTTGTGACTACAATTTGTAATGCACGATGTCGCCAAAAAAGCTGTTTACTAAAGATAATGTTGTCAAGAGGAAGAAAGACACAATTACAGTGGTACCTCGGAATGCGATTGTCCTGTATGCGAGGTTTTCGGAAGGCGAGCAGTATTTACTCCAAAAATTTGTCTCGGAAGGCGATGGTTACTTCGGGACGCGAGTTTGTTGATACGCGTACAGGCCGACCTAGCGCGTGGTGGTTCGGCGATCGTCGCCCCTCTGCCCCGCTGCCCCTCAGTTTACCATTGTCTCGCGCTCAGTGACTACCCCCACATCAATTCTTCTCGTGGATTTTCAGTGTTTTGTTGGATTTTTGGTGATTTGTCTATACAATTTGTTATTATATATCTCACCATGAGTCCCAAGAAAGCCAGTGGTAAGGATAAAGGCCAGAAAGCTCATGTGAGGATGACAATAGAGGAGAAACAAGAGATCATTCGGAAGCATGAGAACGGTACACGTGTTGTTGAACTTTGTAGGCAGTACAACAAAGCCACATCAACAATATGCACTATACTTAAGAAGAAAAATAAGATTATGGGTGC